CGCCGCTGTGGGCAGACGCGCTCACGCCGTGGCCCTTCGCTGTCAGCGCCACTGGCGCGGGTTTCGGCGCTGGAGGACTGGGGAGAGCGGGGTGCCGGGCGTCCCCCCTCGGCAGCGCTGACCGGAAGCCCTGTCCTCTCGGCGCAGGCACCTGCGGGCCGCCGCCCAGCTTGCCGCTGGCTTTCCCCACGACCCAAGTGAACACCACGAGCTTCATGGTCGGGCAAACGGTGAAGTACAGCTGCCGGCCAGGCTACGTGAGGACCTCCTCCTCGATGGTGGCGAGCTGCCAGCCGTCGGGGGAGTGGGTGACCACAGTGGACTGCACCAGTAAGGGGCACCTTGGCTTTCTCCCGGGCGCTTCCCCCTTTCCCCACAAACTCGCTGGGCACCAACAAGCGCCTGGGGTGACGGGCTGCGGGCGTGCGGGCCTGACCCCCGCGTCCAGCGGCCTGCAGACGGCAAGGGGCGGCCGGAGGGCGCCGGTGCCCCGCCGAGGCGCCCCCGTGCCTTGCTGCGCGGCCAGGGTGGGTGCGGTGAGCACACACGGGGCTGCTGCCCGGCCTGGCCAGCTCCCTCCAAGTGATTCTCTGCTGGCCAATGCACCCCAAAGGGACACCAAATTTTCTATTATTTTGTCCCCCCCCAAAATAAAATCTAGTGAGCACGCCAGGGGCAGGGGCGAGCTGCTGAATCTGTGCTGGGTGGCAGAAGCCCCGGGCCGGGCCGCAGCCTGCCCCGGTGGGCGGGGCCCGCCGCTGACCGCCCTGTGCCCCCCCAGAGAAGCGGTGCCAGAACCCCGGGGACCTGCCCAACGGGCACGTGGTGGTGAAGACGGACTTCACTTTTGGGGCGCGGCTGGAATTCACCTGCTCGGAAGGGTGAGTGCAGCGTCTGGAAACAGACTCTTTTTTTTTATAAAATTTATTATGCACACAGAGCTGGGGCTCAGGCCAGGGTTGGGGGTGAGGGGCTCCCCAGAGACAGAGCGGGGAGCACAGCAGGTGGATGGGCGGGATCCACTGCTGAGGGGAGCAGCGGGGAGAGGCGTCTTGGGCGCCTGGGTCACGCCGGCCAGGGATGGACTCGCGCTGTGTGGCTGCGGCTGGCCACAGCGCTGTCCAGCCCTGCCCGAGGTGGCCCCAAGGCTCAGACTGAGCCGCGCGAGGTGCCCAGGCCCCGCCCCGCGGCTCTCGCGGGTCCCCTCACCCGCCTTCCGCAGCCGCGGGCTCCGCTGTTGGGCCCCGGTCGCGCCGGTGGGGTGCTCTGGCGCCTTGCCCATGGATCTGGGGGTCTCGGGCTGGCGTGCAGAGTCCTCCCCCGGCTTCCTCGCCAGCGCAGCGCTGCGTCGCGCAGGCTTGGGGGTGGGGGACAGCCCCTTCCCGGCTCCGCTCTTGGTGGGCGCTGCTGCCCGCGACGTCGGGCGTGAATACAGTCGTGCGGGGTGCGCGAGGGCAGGGCACAAGCTGCCCAGGTCACCGCCGCTTGCGGCCAGCGCGCCCGGCAGGGACTGGGGAGGCCTGGGGGGCCTGTCCTCAGAGAGGGGGGCCCGTGGCCGCCAGACCCTCGTGGCCACAGCGCTGGCCCGAGCTTCGGGGGCGGTCAGGGCTGGCGCGCTGGCCGCCGGCGCCCACGGGGTCTTCAGCCCCTTTGTCCAGTGGGTTCCGGTGACCCCTCGTGATGGGCAGCAGCGAGCTGGGCTTGTCCGCCCCCAGCCTCTGTCCTTCCTTTCCGCGAATTCTGGTGTCGCCTCCGCGGTACCCGGCCATTTACTTGAGTGCAGACGCCCCTGGATTCCGGGGTGTGGGTGAGGGGTGAGGGGCAGCCTGGTGGTGTCGCTTGTAGCACAGGCCCCGCCCCCCGGGCGGCTCAGGCCCCGCCCTCCT